CTGCCAGTGGGTGCTGTGTCCTGTGAGAAGCATTGCTCCCAGCCAGGCGCTCGCACTCAGAGGCCCACAGCGTGGGACGGCCTTAAGGAATATTAGATTCCTGTTTCCCACCTCAGGATCATGCAGGGGCTCACGGCTATGGAATGGAATGCAATTCGTGTTGCCTGCCCTATCTTTTTTGTTTCTCTTGCTATCTTTTTTTTTTTCTTTAATCAAGACATCATAGTTTATGGAAATTCACATAAGTTAAACACAAATGATTAAGCCTCTTTGTGTGCTCAGTTAAAGGGGATGGATTTCAGCCAGGTGGAAGCAGGTAGAGTCCCACTGAATCTTTGAATCTTGGGTCAGGGGTGTGCAAGGAGCTTCAGTCAATTCCTGGAACATGCTCAGAGTCTCTTAATTTATTGGAGATGCTTTCATTCTCAAAATAAATAAATAAATAAATAGCCTTCCTTAAGCCAAATAAGCCAGAACTCCTGGGACATAATAGGTGCTCAGAGAATTTATTAGTTGAATCAAGTTATCATTCACAGAAGTGATGCTGAAAGCTCGGCCTCTGTGCACCACCGCTGAATCAAAACTCAGAGACAGAGTTTTGGGTGAAGTAGAAAAGGGTAGCTTTATTGCTTTGCCAGGCAAAGGGGGACACAGCGGGCTCCTGCCCTTGAAACTGTGTGTCCCAATCCAAACTTAAAATTGGGAAGTTTTTTCACAGAAATTCAAATACCTGGTGAGGAGTTTTATAGCAGTGGTTCAAGGATGGGGTTGCTGATAAGGATTCGGGTGTGTGCAGGGCCTGCACTCCTTTAATCTGGTCTCAGGTAGAATCTCCAACCAGGACCCTGCCCCCAGGCCGCACTACTGTGTCTTGACTTCTCCTCCGCTGTCTCTGCATCTCCACCCTTCCCTGATTAGCAGTTGTTTGAACCTGCCCTTTGGAACTCAGGGAAGGTTGTGGAGGCTGAGTGAAGCCTGTTTCCTGCAAACAAGAAACGGGGGACACAGAAAGGATCTTGTGCCCAGGAGCCCCACAGGGTCCTGCTCAGTTTCAGAAGGAACCAGGACAGAGCAATTTAAAGGTGTTACAAGTCAACTGGAAAGAAGGCTCGAGTATCAGTCCATAGAGAATTAAGATTAAAAAAAAAAACTATTTTGGAATATTAATGAGATCATAAAGCTAGTGTTGGGCTTCCCTGGTGGTGCAGTGGTTAAGAATCCGCCTGCCAATGCAGGGGACACGGGTTCGAGCCCTGGTCTGGGAAGACCCCACATGCCGCGGAGCAACTGGGCCCATGAGCCACAACTACTGAGCCTGCGCGTCTGGAGCCCGTGCCCTGCAACAAGAGAGGCCGCGACGGTGAAAGGCCCGCGCACCGCCATGAAGAGTGGCCCCCGCTTGCCGCAACTGGGAAAGCCCTCGCACAGAAACGAAGACCCAACACAGCCATAAACAAACAAATAAATAAATAAATACATACATAAAGCTAGTGTTGAAATGCCATTTGAAAATAGGTTTAATAAATCAAGAACGAGCTGTTATCTGTACCTAACCACCCCCATCCCATATGCCCTACCCTATAGATTCTGCATCAACCAGAAATCTCTCAGGTATGGATTTCCTAAGTAGAATTCAAATTGTTTCTTTTCCATTTATCAGCACCTTTTTATTTTTGACTTCTCATTTTAAAGTTTTAAGAAGATGGAATAACAATTATTTAACCCATCCTCTGAAGCACATTACATCTTTAGTTTTGCATGATGTGTAGTTTTAGGCTGAAACGAGCTGATAGCTAGACAGCCTGCAGGCTTCTGTCCTGGCTCTGCTTAACAGTTAGTTGCCATCAGCATTTCCAGACGAGTTTGGGGGTGCGTGCGGCGGTGGCAGTGATTGGATCAGCATTAACAGTGGAAATGATAAGATCAAGATACTCAGCATGCTTCAAGAGCAGAAGCCAACTCAAGTCTCCAGGCCTTAGTTTTTCTTTCTTGGCCCAGTGACAGCTTCAGTCTTGTGCATTTAATTTAAAACACAAAAGAGAAAACAGAGAAAGAGAGAGAAAATTTAGCATTCCCATAGTAGAGTAGGTGAGGATTCTCACCATATTCCCCAGAGTGGGTGCGGGCTTGAGGATTTGAATCTAACGTTTCTTCAGAAGTCCTTAGTTCCCCTGAGGCTCCCACGGTGTAAGCAGGTTGGTCATTTTATGGTCATTTTGCTTAAAGATTCTAGATCCTTCATTCTTCTGTGTTTACTCTTATTATTTGATACACTATTGCCCCTAAGTGCAAGCCAGCTAATCCATCTGGTGTTCAGCTGAAGAGTAACACTCTTTATTATTGCTGGAGTTAGGGGGAAAAAATGGCTATATTGGGTTTAAACTTTGTAGTATAGTATCTTCTAGATGATTTAAGAGATTTTCAAGGGTAATTTTAAGTGTCCTTGATGGCCACCTGTGTGCTGATTTTGTGTTTTTTTGTTTTTTCCAATTTTTTTTTTTTTGGAGTATAGTTGATTTACAATGTTGCATTAGTTTCAGGTGTACCACAAAGTGATTCAGTTCTCTACACACACACACACACACACACACACACACATTCTTTTTTCAGATTCTTTTCCATTGTAGGTTATTACAAGATATTGAGTATAGTTCCCTGTGCTGTACAGTAGGTCCTTGTAGGTTATCGATTCTGTAATAGAAGCACTAAGTACGATATGACTGCCTTGTTCATATAACTGCATCCCAGAGTGACTGTGGCAGCGATGGGCTCGGAGGACAATGGAAACAGTGAGAGAGACGGCTGTGTTAGCAGCAGGGGCTGTCAGATTTCACCGAAGGGAGCTGGCATTGGGGAACGTCGGGATATGGTCACGGGGCTCAGAAGACATGATGCGTTGCGTGTCCTGCAGGTGGAAGGGCTGGACTGGAGCTAAGGGTGTCAGGAGTGGGATGCACCTGGCTGTGCAGGGGATGCAGGCTATGAAGGGTGCTGTGTGCTAGGCTAGGGCGTTTGGACTTGATCCCAGAGACACATTCAGCCATTATTTTATTCAGTAAGCAAGACAGATCCAGGCCCCATTCTCATGGAGTTGACATTTGGGCTGACTACCCCAAGCCATTTGAGGTTTTTTGTTTTGTTTTTTAAATTTTTTTTTTGGCCGTGCCATGCAGCATGCAGAATCTTAGTTCCCCAACCAGGGATCAAACCCGCATCCCCTGCAGTGGAAGCACAGAGTCTTAACCACTGGACTGCCAGGGGAGTCCCCATTTGAGGGTTTTAATGAACCTGGTTGGATTGTTTGTATATTCACATGCACCTCAAACAATTTTAAGAGATAATATAGGGCTTCCCTGGTGGCGCAGTGGTTGGGTGTCCGCCTGCCGATGCAGGGGACACGGGTTCGTGCCCCGGTCAGGGAAGATCCCACATGCCGCAGAGCGGCTGGGCCCGTGACCATGGCCGCTGAGCCTGCGCGTCTGGAGCCTGTGCTCCACAACGGGAGAGGCCACAACAGTGAGAGGCCCGCGTACCGCAAAAAAAAAAAAAAAAAAAAAAAAAAAAAAAGGTAATATATGCATCTGGTCAAAGAATCCAGCCATGCAAAATGGTCTGTGATGAGAAGATAATCTCTCCCCCACCCTGGTCCCTGGTCCTCTTTAGACAGAATCATTATTATCTATTTCTTCTGTATCCTTCTAGAGATGTTCTGTGCACACATACTATATATGCACAAGGTGTTCTTCACCTTTTGAAGAACACTTCATTAACAACGTGTCCTCTTTTCATTAACAATGTGTCTTGGAGTTCATTCTAAATGACTCAACAGTGATCTGTACTCTTTTCATGGCATCAGACCTGAGTACCTCATATGCGCCATAATATGACTGGTCCCCTACTGACGCACACTGAGGTCAGTGTTAGTCTTTTTGCTACTTCGGATGTAGCCTCGGTGATTATTCTTGGGTGCATGTTTTGCACTCATATCCAAGTGTGTCTTTGGAATCAGTTCTGAGAAGTGGAGTTGTTTGGTCACAGAGTTTGTGCATTTTAAATATATTAGCTGTTTCTACTTTGCCCACAGAAGAGGTTGTGCCAGTTTACCCAGTATAGGAATGTTTATTTCATGAAGCCATAGGCAGACTCTTGTTCTTTACAGATTTTCTACATTAAAAGGATGACTGAAGTTGATCACCATTTCTCATATTTAAAAGCCCAATTGTAGGGTTTTTTTGTTTTTGTTTTGTTTTGTTTGTCATGGACTGCAATTTTATGGTGATACCTATTTTTCTATTGGGTTGTTAGGGTTATGAGAGTTCTTTACATATTAAGCAAATTAGCTTCTTTCCTTTTGTACGTGTTGTAAATAGTTGTGTTTTTTCCCCCCAGTTTCTCATTTGTCCTCTGACTTTGCTCATGCTATTTCTGCCATTCAGGAAGTTCCTTTTTGGCTTATCGGATTTGTATTTTAGATTTCTGTTGCAAGGAACTGAACCGGGATGAGAAGAAAAGAGACATATTTGAAAGATATTTGGGAGGTAGAATGGAAAGGCCATGGAGTATTTCTTGAAGCTCTGATAATGGGTGACTTTTGAATTCTTGATGAAAAACTGAGTCACAGATGCCTAAACACAAACTTTGAGAAACACGAGGAAAAAGTGAAATCAAAGAATTAAAGAAGGGAAGGGAGCTTTCTGGTGCAGCAGATATCACTGGAAGAGGCCGTGGGTGCCTCATGAGTCAAGGCTGCCAAGCCTTCCTGAATTGGCCCTTCATCCTGCTGGCCTCGGTGCCAGTCCCAGTCCTGGTGTCTGAGACTGGTGGATGAATGTTATTTTAGGTGGATTGTCTCTAAAGGACAATTCAGAAAATATGTAGTATTAACTTCTGATTTGACTAATCTTTGGATTGGTTTTCAGTTTTTACCACAGCAGCAACTTGTGCCCTTTTAATGTTTTTCTCTCCTGTCTTTTTCTTTCTCTGTGTATTTTTTGATAAAGGGACCATCTAGAAGCTGCGGGTCACGTGTGTATTCTGAAAAATGCCTTGGACTTTGAAAGCCCATCCGAAATCTCCAACTTCATCAAGGCTGAGAGCTTGGAGGCAGCTATGGCTCTTCATCTATATAGAGGGGGTAGACTTTTGCCAGGTAACCCCCCCTTCCCCAAAGGTGGAGCCCTAGCAGTCACAAAACCAGAGCGCCTGCGACTTCAACTTAAACATCGATGAAGCGGCTTATCCCTGCTCAGAAATGGAAGGGATACAATCATCTTTTTGCTTTGCTCTTCTAAACGGAGTAGTTTTCTAAAAATGATGTAACTACACCAATTGAGAATGGATGCATATATACTGAAGCTGTTTTTACGGCATGAAGAGTCATTTTTTTTTTACAATTTTTTTAAAAAAATTAATTAATTAATTAATTTTTGGCTGTATAGGGTCTTCATTGCTGCGCACAGGCTTCTCATTGTGGTGGCTTCTCTTGTTGCGGAGCACGGGCTCTAGGCACGCACGGTTCAGTAGTTGTGGCACGTGGGCTCAGTAGTTGTGGCTCACAGGCTCTAGAGCGCAGGCTCAGTAGTTGTGGTGCATGGGCTTAGTTGCTCCACAGCATGTGGGATCTTCCCGGACCAGAGATTGAACCCCTGTCCCCTGCACTGGCAGGCGGATTCCTAACCACTGCGCCACCAGGGAAGTCCCTACGGCATGAAGAGTTTTATCCTGAATGTTTTTGATGTGTATTTCTTAATTCAAAGTCTAATTTTCAAAAGTTAAAAATGTGACTCTTTCACAAAATATAGAAGTGAGCACATAGGACAGAGTTTATTCAACTGATTTATTAATGAAGAAACTACTAAGATACTAAAGCCAGTTTAAAGAGCATTTGAGGGACTGAGATTTTTTTTTTTGAATTTTATTATTTTTTTTATACAGCAGGTTCTTATTAGTCATACATTTTATACACATCAGTGTACACATGTCAATCCCAAACTCCCAATTCATCACACCACCACCCCCAGTTTCCCCCCTTGATGGCCATACGTTTGTTCTCTACATCTATGTCTCTATTTCTGCCCTGCAAACCGGTTCATCTGTACCTTTTTTCTAGTTTCCACATATATGCGTTAATACACAATATTTGTTTTTGTCCTTCTGACTTACTTCACTCTGTATGACAGTCTCTAGATCCATCCACGGAGGGACTGAAATTTGAATAGGCTAGGATTAGGTTAGCTGCAGAACTGGTTATGTCCAGCAGGGCAATCAACCGTAAGCTTTGGGGCTTTCTTTTCTTTTCTTTTTTTTTTGGCCGTGCTGCATGGCATGCGAGATCTTAGTTCCCCAACCAGGGATTGAACCCATGCCCCCTGCAGTAGAAGCTCAAAGCCTTAACCACTGGACCACCAGGGAAGTCCCAAGGGTTGCGGGGAGCTATCTTTTCTACTGGTGTGTTAGTCAGGGTTTTCTAGAGAAACAGAGCCAAGAGGAAATATAGATACAGATGTAGATATAGATACACACACACACATATGTATGTGAAGATTTATTATAGGGATTGGCTATGTGATTATAGAGGCTGAGAATTCCCACAGTCTGCCATCTGCAAGCTGGTCACCCAGGAAAACCGGTGGTTTCATTCAACCCGAGTCTGAAAGCCTGAGAATCGGGGGGCTGACGGTGTAAGCCCCAGTCTGAGTCTAGAAGCCCAAGAACCAGGAGTGGTGATGTCCGAGGGCAGGAGGCGATGGATGTCCCAGTTTAAGCAGAGAGCATGAATTCACCCTTCCTCCCCCTTTTAGTTCTATTCAAGCCCTCAACGGATTGGGTGAGGCCCACCTGCATTGTTGAGGGAGATCTTCCTTCCTCAGACTACAGATTCAAATGCTAATCTCTTCCAGAAACATCCTCCCAGACACATCCAGAAATCATGTTATACCAGCTCTCTGGGCCTCCCTTAGACCAGACAAATTGACTTCTAACATAAACCATTACAACTGCAGCAAAATGATTGGCATCTCTGCCTGCAAAGTGTTGGATGCAACTGCACAGAGCATGAGCTCTTAATTAATAGTAAATACTGAGGTCAAACAACAGTACCTTCTCTTAGAAAACGAATCCACGGGGACCTTTAAACACTGCTTCTGGGATTCCCTGGTGGCGCAGTGGTTAAGAATCCTCCTGCCAATGCAGGGGACACAGGTTCGAGCCCTGGTCCGGGAAGATCCCACATGCTGCAGAGCAACTAAGCCCGTGCTCCACAACCACTGAGCCTGCACTCTAGAGCCCGCGAGCCACAACTACTGAGCCCGTGTGCCACAACTGCTGAAGCCTGCGCACCTAGAGCCTGTGCTCCGCAACAAGAAAAGCCACCGCAGTGAGAAACCCGCGCACCACGACGAAGAGTAGCCCCTGCTCGCCACAGCTAGAGAAAGCCCGCGTGCAGCAATGAAGACCCAATGCAGCCAGAAATAAATAAATAAAAATAAAACAAAAACAAAAAACACTGCTTCCTTGGACCTCGAAAGGATGTGCATGCAGTCATCCTCTTGGCTTTAGCTACAGTTTTTGGATATTTCTTCTTAACCCTCCCAAGGCCAATTTGACTTCACTGAGAGCCCAGTGGCCACCGAGTAGAGGCAGGGCAGATAATTTTGTTGTTGAGCCGTGAGTGGCTTTTTCCAAATATGAATTAAATGACATGGCAGTGGCAGCTTTTCAGGAGATGGTATGTCACTTGAGGCCCCAAATTACCCACAGTAATCACCATACGGGGATAGCACTTCACTTAGCAAAATGTGTCAGCTTCTGAAATTTTCAGACGTTTCATTGCTAAAGGTGACTTCCTGTTTCCCTGCACTGTATCAAACCTTATTTAATCTTCCAGCTCTCTCTCTTGCTTCCCACACCATAGG